GAGGTTCATTAATGGCAAATATTTAAAATAGTATGTTCATTCCTTATGGAAGAATGAACAAATAAAAGCGTAATCAAATTACGTTGAAAGATCGTAGATAAATAAAGCCAGAATGAAATACGTTCAAATAAATTCCTTTATTATCAAATATTCATTACAAATTGTGAGATACAAAATACTAAATGGTCTATAAGCTACAATTGAGAGCAAACTAATTTCTCGATCGATCGTCAAGAAAGAGGGTGAACCGGCATTGGTTACTGTCCTGATCGCACTGCTGCAAGGGCAGACAGAGAGGCCGAGAAGCACTCTCAACGAGCAAAAAGGAAGAAAAGTACCCTCAAATCGCCTGCCTAATCGCATTACTGCAATAACGGGCAAGGAGACTGAGAATCACTCTCAGCAAGCAAAGTGGCTTGAAAAGCATGCTCAAAAATTGTCTTCCATCATTGAACTTCTTATAAAGAACGTGGAGACGATGGGAAGAACTTCGCTGGCCAAAGAATATTTCATATATCTCCCATACCAAAGGTGACATCAAAACAGATAGTAAAATGGGCGGATCAAATGATCCATTTCTATGGAAGACGAAAATTTTGGATTAATTGTTGAGATGCCAAACGATGACAGAAAATTAGTTTTTGAAGAAAAAAATGGAAATGAAAATGATGAGTGCGAAATACACACGCATTTATAGAGGCATGAAGGTGAAAGGACAGAATATGAATGGCCACATTCGTGCCTAATGACTGAAATCAAATGGCCCAAAGTCTTGGGAAAAGAGACGGAAATACCAAGAAAGAATGTACATGAATTTTAGCATAAAGCAATTAAATACTTGGGAGGTTGACGATTAAAGACAACGTCAATTAATACGCAAGTAGACAAATTAGTCGTTCATTAATGACGATAACTGCTGTTACATTTAAAATTAGCAATGGCAATTAGTGCGAAGTTACAAAAGGAAAGTTAGTACGAAGTTACAAAAGGAAAGTTAAGGCATTGGATGTCTTAATTACAATTCACCCCAGGTCGAACGAATTCTTTCCCTAAGTCTTCCCCAATCTTCACTCTGTTGAAAAGAAGCGACATTTAATTCAGCTACAAAATGGTCATCAACCTCCAGCTTTTTATACTGCTCAACCAAAGACTTGGTTCGTTCAATTCCTTGGGAAGCATTACGCTTTTTAGCAGCCATTCTCGCCCTACAATCGTCCATCTTTGCTTGAAGCTCCTTCATCTCTGCAGCCAAACTTGTCATCAAAGAGTCTTCGATCATAACGTCGGAAGAGATTTCTTTTAATTCGTCCTTGGCTTTGTTAATCTATAGAAGCAAAGACTCTCTTTCAGATGCAACACAAAGATATTGAGTACTCCTGGCCTTCAGTTCAACATTTGTGACTAGCAAGGAAAGGACGTCAGAGTGAACAACCTTCAACGTCGCTTTAAAGTCAGCAGAAACATTGAGCGACGGAAGTGTAAGTGCTTGCGCCAATTTCGCACTCAATAGCTCAAGCTTACCCTTATATTTAGTAGCACTAGCCTGGCCGATATCCATGTCCATAAAAGACACATACTCAAATACCGACTGCTTGAGAAACCTCATATTTTCCTCTGAAGAAGCAGAAGGATGACTGCTTGAAGTAGGGCGAGACGTCTTGACTTACCCCTAGGAAGTAAACAAGTCCTGGAGGGAACGCACAATATCATCAGCACCCTGCAAAGAAAAATGCCAACATTGAGGACTTTCACTACAATAAACGAAGCGAAAATGAAAGTGAAGCAAAAGGTTACCTCATCAGCAATCTTGGAAAGTTCAGGCATATCACCAGTTGGCTCCACCACCTGTGGGGACTTCCCCTTATCTAGGTGAGAAGACTCTGCCACAACGGGCAAGCCCATGGGATAATTCAAGAAGCAACGAATCAGAAACTAGTAGCACAAGCAAAGGTAAAACATCAAAATATGTATTACCTTTTGGTTCGACGTTTGGGGGGTCGGCGCCTTGGGAAGAAGGTGGCCCTTCTACTGGTTGTGATGAAAGTTCCGGGACTAAGGGTTTCTCTTTAAGCATAATCCCTTTATCAGCTGATTTGGACGAAGCAGCTTCAGGAGAAGATAACGGAGCAAGAACTGCCAAAACCAAAGCCTTCGAAGGAGAGGCTGAACTTTTCTGAGAAATTCAGGTAAACCATTAGTACATAGAAAAGTATGTTTGTGAATAAACAAATTCAATTACCTTCCTCCTAAGGATGAGAGGAGCATCATCATCATCATCATTATCATCCTGCAAAATGGGAGATGCTGAAACTGGCCGTTTGTGGCTTAAAGCACCTTTAGCTGCAGTAGCCTTGGCAGGTAGAGAAGCAAATGGATGGATAGAATGTTTAGCGCGAGCAGGGGAGGAAGGATTCCTAATTGACACAGGGGTGACCAAAATAGGAGAAGTAGAGGGAGTGCTTGGCTGGTCCAGTAAATGGAAGACACGATTAACATCAGTTGCAAACAATCGGCGTTTTACTGATGGTCAAAGCTGTTCAAAAAGAGGATGGACGGCACAGCTAGAATTGAAAGGGGCTAAGGAAAATTTGCTCGTCAAAAGAATGTTGCGAGCATCTATAGCTTGTGCCTCTACCTTATTAATAGTGTGAAAGCGTTCTGTCAAATTTTTGGAGTAGCAAGGAGGAACAGGCCAAGTTTGGCCAAAACCAAGTTGGCGAGCAAAAAATTGGGGAGCATATATTTCAACCCCAGCTTTGGCATTGGTTCCAGTTAAGATATCGTGGAACAATCCCTCCCAATCAAAAACTGAACCTAAACTCGCACTGTCTAGAGTGGATAGAAGTTATACATAATCTGGAATCAAGTGAGCAGGAAAAGGAAAGAAGGAAGGAATCGAATTTAAGGTATAAAAGAATGAAAAAATGTCCCTACTGGACATATTTACAGGGTTCGGTGGATGAATGACTAGCCCATTGTAGCTAGCAGAACGAAGGGAAATGGATGGAGCACCAAGTGGTGGAAAGTATGCTTTCAACCACAGTTGAGTGAACCAAAGGGGCCCATTGCCAGTGGGAGATGCACCATTGTTCAGTTGAAATTGAAGGGAAGCCATATCTCTATAAAGGGCAGCTAAAAAGAAGGAACATAAGTTCAACGGCCTACCACGCACCAATTCATGCGCTATAGGTAAGTAAATCATAGAAGGTTTCATACTTGGCACGCAGAGAATACATTTACAAAGTCAAATCTGAAGAAAGGCCACATGCTCAGCATGGGAAGGTTCAGTGCTTGAGTGATTATAAAAGCCTTGAAGGCTTGAATAGGACTCAGTAAGTTTCTTGTCAAATTTCGGGGCAACACTAGAAATCAAGATACCAGGAAAGATGGTATCGTCCAAAGGCGGAAGATTTACTAGGTCTCCAACGTCCCTTAAAGTAATAAACATGGGACCAAGAGGGAAAACGAAGGTGTTATATTCAGAAGACCAAAAACTCAAAATAATAGGAAAAAGCACTGGGTCGAAAATTGGGGGTTGAAGAGTGATTTCTAATAAGTCTGAAATCCTAGCACGATCAAAAATCGCCTTGGTAGGGCCATGATTCACAAGACGTGCATGCCATCTACGAAAAATAACATCAACTTTGGGTCAAGTGTGAATACCTTTTTCGCGAATCAGCCTCAATAGCAGAGAGTTCAGGAACGGATGACCTTGAATGTAAGGGAACAGCTGGCCCACCACCACTTGTCCAACGACTTCGGCATTATTGAACGATGGACCCAAATAGAATTCATTGAGGTCAGCATTAGCTTGTGCAAAGAAGTTTGGATTTACATACGACCTAGTAAGGATTTTCTGGAAATCTTCGAAACTAAAAGAATCATCAGATTGAGTTTATGAAGTCGCCATTGGGAACAAAGTACAGTTTCGTTAAGGTTTACCTGAGAAACGTAGCAGAGAAGTAAGAAGATGAACAGTAAAATAGCGAGGAGGAAGCGTGAAATATAGAGACGTGGTTTAGTGATGCGATGAAATGGCGTGTCTTTTGGATTTATAAGGGTTTGTAACGTTGCACCTTTTCAGGCTGTAGAAGGAAATAATGATTGAAATTCTTGGGAATTTCAAATATTACTGAAAAATACAAAGTGAATATGATAAAGATTAATAATTGGTATTAATTCTGCCATATTGGGGGGTAATTGTTGACACACTAAAAGTGCAGCCCAAATCAAATAGCTCAAAGAGTGAAGTCCAATTGGGGAATCCAGGATAAAGTTCCAAACAAGATTATTGATGAATGCAATGGAAGGCCACGAACACAGTATCATCATCGTCTAAGCTTGAAAGTCGCCCAGAATCTGAGCGAATGGAGTACCTTACGGTTGCCTAGAGCGATGACCCCGTCCTCGCCCAAACCTTCGAATCGCCCAGGATTTTAGCAATTATAAAACATTATGGTTATCCAGAATAGCAGTTATTGAGTGATCTTATCACATTCCACGATTCAAGAAACCCAGTTGAAGACGGTTGAACGATAAAGAGTAATGATAACAATTAGAGACGGCAGTTCCACGACAAATTAGCCACCATAAAGAAAGTGAGTAGTTATACAACAATCAAACAGTTTCCAAGCGATTTGTCACGAAAAAATCATCAAGGGAATATAAAAGGAAGAGAAGACATAGAGAAAAAGGGATGAATCAAATACTCTCAAATAGAGAATATATAGTTTCGATTTTTTAGTTTAAACTTAAATACTTCTTTTAGTACTCGTGTGCTTGCGCCCCTTGGAGGCATTCTATTTATTTCCAATTGTAAATCATCGTCAATAAAACACCCATTTTTGGGACTTTATCTCAAGAGATCCGTTCTTTATACAATTGTCTGATTTCTTTTTAATTGTTAGCAACTATTCGAGCGAAACAAGTAGAATTACGGTATTGAAATCATATTATATTACATTTATCATACTAAGTTAAAGTTAACTATTAATTAAAAATGGATAAAAAGTATAAGCACCAGAATCGCGTAAAGAACTCCAGATAAGGTAACAAACATTAAAAATTAATTAATTTTCCAAGCTTCCATCACTATCAAACAAAAACCTCAAAAGCCGTCGTCATGCTCATGCCTAATCTCAATCTCATCAAGAAAAACCCATTAAAGAAGAATAAGAGGTTGAAAAGGCGAAGAAGAATTGTACTGTTACAAGAAAAGACATGGGAGGAATTTCAACTCTTTCAGCCTCAAAACACTGGCACAATATTCCAACGTCAGCATTCCCAAATAATTCAAGAATCTTAAACCAATTTATTGACAAAATTACTTCAATTCAGTTCAATCACACTTTCAAATCATCAGGAAAAGAGAATCCATTTTCTTGTTTTGCTTTGGATGCTTCGAGGGAGTCTATCCCGCCACTGGTGGTGGTGGGATCGGCCAATGCTGATTTATATGTGGAGATTGACAGGTTGCCTAAGGAGGGTGAGACCATATCTGCTAAAACTGGGCAAATCTTGGCAGGTGGTAAAGGAGCCAATCAGGCAGTTTGTGGGGCAAAACTGGCATATCCCACATACTTTTTGGGGCAAGTGGGGGATGATGCAAATGGAAAGTTAATCACTGACGCACTAGAGGGTGGTGGAGTGTGTTTGGATCGTTTGAGTAGATTGGATGATGTTCCTACTGGGCATGCTGTGGTCATGCTGCAGGCTGGGGGGCAGAATTCTATTATTATTGTTGGGGGTGCTAATATGGCTTGTTGGCCCCAGACTCTGCCCGAGGAGGATCTGGAGGTTATTAAGAATGCTGGGATTGTTTTGCTTCAGAGGGAGATTCCTGATTCTGTTAACATCCAGGTTGCAAAGGTGAGGCGCATGTCATTTGGTTCTTAATTTAAGTGTTCTATTAGAATGCTTGAAGTTTGAATTGGTGAATGAGATATAAAAGAGGGATCTTTATGTTAAGACTTGGGGTCCATCTTAATAAGGTCAACCTTGTTAAGAGGAGTGTCCCAATTCTTTATATATTGGTCATTATTTCGGTATTTTACCGATGTGGGATTATATTCCCTTAACATGCCCCGCAAGACGGTGGCTCGTTTGAGCAGACCAATCTTGAAATCCGTGTGCTCATTTTTAGAGACTTAATCGGATCGAATCGCTCGTTGGAGCTTACTGGGCTCTGATACCATGTTAAGATTTGGGGTCCATCTTAATAAGGTTAACCTTGTTAAGAGGAGTGTCCCAATTCTTTATATATTGGTCATTATTTCGGTATTTTACCGATGTGGGATTATATTCCCTTAACACTTTATATGGATTGACGACATTTCTCTTATGTAATTATTACAAACCTCCCTATATACCAATTTTTGTATGGTGTTTTTCATTTTAGGGATGGATATATGATTAGTTGCAAGGGAAATGAATTCAAAATGTTTAAAGTTCATAGCTTTATGCTCTAGTTTTACCTTTTTGAGAGCAACGTCATTGGTGTGTGTTCCTGAGTAATTGTGTTAACTTAAAAGATTGAAATGTCAGGCTCGAAATATCTGGGCAAGTAACATTTTTGCCCAAATTTAGATGTCTTTTCAAGCAGACAGAAATTATACTGTGCGGATGGAAGGACTGTGAATTTGGCATTTGTGGTATAGACCAAGATGAATCCATTAGAAGGGGTTTTCATTCATAGATGAACAACCTTTTAGCACCCAGTAAAACTGTTATAAGGCAGAGCAGCAACTACGTTGAAGAAGAATACCCTAGAGAATGGAGTTTGAACATTTTGCTAGATGAAATATCAAGGAAGACCAATGCCATTTCGACGTATTATCTCATTGATTTTATCCATTGGAAGCCCTTCGTGGATGGTGGTAACTGCTAAACATATTGATGATGGCAAATATTTGTTTTCCCCTCACGCTCATACATTGTAGAGTACAGAGATATTTTTTCCGAAAAGGGATAAAAGGTTCTTCTCTAGATAATAGAGATTCTCTCGTACAAAAAGAAAATAAGATGGGTTTTGTCATCTGAGCATTGTCAGGTTACTAAAACTCTGCAATAAAGAAAGGCCAATGAGTTTCAGGCTGGGTTTCAACCAGAAAGCCATAAAGTGGATTATTGTGCTGAATTATAATTGGTTGGCTTCTTAAAATAATGAGATGAATTCATTCTTTTTAGAAAGGCAATTCTGAGTAGCACTGCTCTATTTTTGGTTAATATTTATGGTTTGGTGCAATTCTTTGGCTCAAGTCCTTGTGCTTCTCACACATTTATCAAAGGCAGGCTTTAGAATTATCAAATCACCCCCATTATGTCTCTAGTTTAGGTTTTGCATAAAATTAATAAAAAAAAACAAAGGAACTAAAAATACTTCAATATTCAATTCCTTTTGCAACATGTGTACCATTGTTTTTTCAGCTGCATAATTCTCTTTATCTGCTTTAGACATGTTTTTGAATGAGTCTCTTAAGAAGTAGTAGCATCGGGAAATTCCAAACTCATGATTGCTTTTGTTTTCAAATTGCAATGACCTTGCCTTCTTTGGGGTTCTTTTGTTTTTGCCGTTATATCTTATACACTGGAGTTATTACGATCCAGAGAAACTTCTTCATCAGTTATATATAATATATCCTTCGGCGGTATGATTCTGTAACCATCTTTCTCTCTATAGGTTGCTGGGAGTGCACTTGTCCCAGTCATCTTGGATGCTGGCGGAGTTGATGCACCAATCCCTATAGAGCTATTTAGTTTTGTCGATATTTTCAGCCCAAATGAGAGTGAGCTTGCTCGTCTGACAAACATGCCAACAGAAACTTTTGCACAGATAATCCAAGCTGTGGGAAAATGCCATAAAATGGTGAGTAACAGTTGTACTCAAGGTATCAAAGACAGGTATTTATGGTATGGTGATATCAGTTGGAGTATCCTTCTCTTTTATTATTTATTTATTTTTTTTTTTTTCATATTCGTGGGTATTCCTTTTTCTTTCAGGGTGTTAAGCAAGTGCTTGTAAAACTCGGAGCTAAGGGGGCTATTTTTTTCACCGAAGAAGAGGAACCAATTATACAACCTGTCATATCGGCTCCAAAAGTAATTGATACCACTGGAGCTGGTGACACTTTCACTGCTTCTTTTGCTGTGGCTCATGTGGAGGGAAAATCCAAGCAGGAATGCTTGAGATTTGCTGGTATGCATAGTATTTTTCCCTCCCATTTTACAATTATTTCCGCTGTCTCACAAAGCTACTCATGATTTTCAGCTGCAGCTGCTTCACTTTGTGTTCAAGTAAAGGGAGCCATTCCAAGCATGCCTGACCGAAAATCTGTTTTGGATCTTCTTCAGTCTCTTTGAGGATGTTCGCATTTGTAGTGTAGTTCATCTCGCATATAAATAAGAGGTATTCTTCTGAGACTGCTGCATGATCATTTTTTCCCTTTTTAGTGTCTAAAAGTAGTTCTTCCTTAACCTCAACTGTTTGAAAAATTGGATTAAAGCTCATCCATTAGTGTTCTGTTTCCTTGTTGAAACTAATCCAGAATTTGTGATGAAATCACTTTCAATAAATAAATAAATAAATAAAAGAAGAAGAAGAGCAAAATGGGAAAGGAAAAGGAAAATCTGTACTCCTGGTCATTTGCTTCTATGCTATTCTCACCATTGTCAGTAGGGCTGGATATGGTCCCGTGGGTATTTAGTAAATGGAACCATTGGGTTCAAATTTAATTATGGAACCGTTCGGATTCGGTTCCATTAGGTTCAATTTGGTTTGGTTTCCAGGTTCCATATTATAATTAAATTTTTTAATATTTACAAAGCTATGTTAATTCAACTAATGATATGTTCAATCTAGCTCTTACAAAATAACGTAATCCAATCTTAAGTGTCTTTGTTGCGTCTCTATTTGCTGAGTCCTTCATAGATTTGATTGTTTAAATCACAGGAAGAGGAAGATAGCGAGCTCACAATAATTAAGAGAGGCGTTGTCGAGCTTTAATTTTGTTTCTCGAGAATGGTAAAAACGGCACTATGGTAGAGTAACAGATTTGGATAAAATTAGATAAATTTAATTAAGTTGGCTTTGAACTGAAAATTAGAAATAGGAAAATCATATTTTTGGATTTGAGCTAAATTAACTAGTTAACAAGTTTATTTAGAAAAAATAAAATAATTTGACTTATTTAAAATAAATTAATTAGAAAATTAGGGAGATTCGATTCTTAATCTAGAATCGAGGACCAAACCAAACATGTCGGTTCTCGATTCAGATACATGTTTATATATTTAACTTAAAAAGAATTGCTCGATTCGGTTGGGGAGTTTTGTCCAGCCCTAATTCCCCATCCCCACCCTTTTGCTGTCCATTTGGGATGAAATTTTGGTCATAGGGTGGGAGAGAGGTGATAGGTGGGAGGGGGAGAAGATCATTTCTTCTTTAACTAAAAAATGAGAGTATAATGATCCTTTTAACCAAAATCTCTTTCTACGTGCATTGTACGTGACATTTTCAAAACTAAAATGAATGGAATTCGATAGTGGGGATCTAGTCCTATGGCTGGGAGCCTAAATGACAAGAGGATATAGTTGGGGGCCTAAATGCTCAAAATATATGTTGGGAGGCCTATGCTACTTTTTGAAAAATGAGAATAGACATCAATTTTTTGTTTGGTATGAAATAGAAAATTTAACGATGTAGAGAAAATAGAGGAATAAGTTTTATATTGAACCAACAGAAAGTGAGCAGCTAACAGTAATAGAAACAAACAAACAAAAATAAAATAAAATTGATAACATAGATGTTCCCAAAGCCAGGTAATGGACAATTTTGACATTATGAGAATGTTGATCAACATAATGCTAAATTGAAATTATTAAGCATCCTTTTGGCAAAATTTATAAACCGTTTATAAACGGTCAAATTTCATTTTTAACGACACATTTCAATAGACTTACAATTACTGCCCTCTTATCTATCACTTGTTTCCCATTTATAAATCCTTCCCAAACGGATGCTAAATTGAAATTTACAGTACTTCAGAATTTTGCAATCGTGGATTATATATATATATATATATATATATTCAAAGGTTGGGTAATTATAGCTACTTGTGCTGTATGATCGAGGAAAATTTTTGTAGGCCATCACTAAAGCTGCTCTTAATTCAGGACCCGGACTTGGATTTTGTAGGTTGAGTGATTCAGGGTACTTCAGCTAGTTTTTTGATTTGGAGTTTCTTACAGCAAGTTGAATTATACCTTTCATTTTATATTAATTTTTGTTGAAGCTAGTATTATTCAAATATAGAGTTTCATAAAGTATCCTTCGACCTTCGTTAATCATAACATGAAAATGAAGTGGATTACAAGGTTTTAGATATCTATAATGTGCTTTGTTAACATAAAATCATGTGGTTCTTACTTTTTGGGATTAGAATGGGATGTTTTAAGCTTTGCGGATATTGCTTCTAACAAAATTATTGAATCCATAACATAATAGGCTCCTGTTTAGTGGGGATTAAAATCAGGTTTTAATAGATTTTAATAAAAATTGATGAATGTGTGGTTAAAAAGTTTTGGCTCCATGAAATATGTGGTTAAATTAATTATTGACTTTGACTTAGATCCCTACCAAACAAATATTAGATAAATGTTGGGTTACTTATGAGTCGTTCTTACTATTTCTAGTGCCGTTGCCCACTTTAGGTCGTTGTTGGAATGGGAATGGACAATATTCAGACTTCTAAAATTATTTTGAGTGGCCGGTTAAATTAACTTTCACTCTTGTAGGCCAAATTAAATGCGCTTGACATTCTGCAATATTACCTTATCTTGAATCACCAGATTTTATTACCAAATTTGGATGCTTTATGTTGCTGCCACCATTGTTAGCCATTGATTAATCTAAGATCCTTGCCAAGTACCAATTTTGTGCAAGTTTAGTTTTTAGGATAGCCATACTCTCCCCAAACTGGATGAGGTAAAATTTACAGTATCTCTTGAGGTTGAGGATTACTCCAGGGATCACAAAAGTTGTAAGGCTCAGGGTGTTGAGCATTACCAGGAGTACAATGTACACGGTAAGCCTCGTAAGGACAATTTTCCTTGTCAGGGCAATGAATATGAGTTTCTCTGAGAAGGGTGTGGTACAGAGGACAAGATTGTAGAAAAGTCGGGTTACACCACGAGTCTATGCTAGGATTAAAAATCATCTCACTGTATCATGTAACGTCTGTTGTTACATCAATGTGCATGGCTGCCCGTTATTCTTCCAGCAGCTGCTATGTCCGTTAGGTAGAACTAGGTTCCCGGACCCCCTCCATGCTTTATATCACTGTGAAAAAAGTTATTGAGAAAAATGATCAGTAATGTAGAAAACAACGATACAATGGACGAGAATATTATGTTGGAGGGAGAAAAGTTAGTGCAATTGGCTGATTCACTAGCAAATTTTAAATAAGCCCCATCTATAATCTCATGTTCGTATTGATGAACCACCTAATCAAGTAAAATTCATGATCAAGTATTGTTATTGTCAACTTTTTTTGAAAATTGCGAACTTGTCAACCTTCGATAAAAATGAACGTAATCTGCACATGAGAGCGCGCTCAAAACAGGTTAAGCGTTTCTATGGGTGATTAAACACTAACTGTTTTCACCATTCCCCTAGTGTGAGAGTGATATCCAGTAGAGAACCCTGTTGTGGCACCTGTCCTCAGGTAAAGCATCAGCCATGGGTACTTTGAAGATGTCTTGAGAATATGATGAAATTTTCTAACTTCTTTCTCCCAAATCACTTCATAATATGAAGAATCATTCTGTGTGATGAGTGCTTTTGTAACACTAGCAGCAGAAATATCCAGATCCTATGTTGCATGGAAGCTCCTCATCAGTTTGTTTGTCAAATGATCTTCTTGCAAGATTGTATAGTTGTGGTAGATCAATGGCACATTCATTCACCCTTTTCCGAAGCACGGGAATTCAGATTCAGATGTGAAGAGATAGGCTTTTCTTCAATTGTTAGGGCAAATAGTAGCTAACGTATCCATGTTTCCGCTCTTGAGCATTATCATCCAAAACTGCCATGGCTTTGGCTTGTCTTGAACTTGACACTTTGTGCTCAAATATCTGCTTCCATGCCGTGTATTGATTGACATCAAGAGATCCTCTTCTTCCTCTGGATGTTGCATTCGTTATGCCAAGCTTCTTGTCTCTCTCATTCACCCTTTGAACTAGCCCGGCTTTTATTCAAAGAAGATATGAATAAGAAGAAACTAAGAAGGTTAATAGAACTTAATTTATTCGAAAACAAAGCAATTTTATAGGATCAAATATTGTGGGTTGATGTGCATTAATGCGTGTTTGGTATGGGAAATTGAAGAACGAGGTTAAGTAAGAGAGGCATGATGTGCAGAAGTCACAGTAATAGGTTTTAAACAAAGTATAAAAGAGATAATGAACAATTTATACATTAAAGGCTCAGATTTTGACAGCACATGGTTGTCAACCATGTTCTTACAACTAACTTTATTGTGGAATTAAGGTGTTCAGAACTTGACCTGTGTCCATTGATGGAGATAAGTTCAATTTCTGCTATATGTATACTAGGTGAGTAAAATATTTTCAAGTCACACAAGATATTCCAAGACCATATATCTCACAATTTCGAGTACTCTCAAGTACAGAAATGGCTGGCACGTTTGGGATGGCTGGAAGGCCATGTAATAACAATTCGACGTGGGACAATACAATAAATCCTCTTTTGATACGGGATTATAAAAAGCCATTGAAACAATGTTACCCAACAAAAGTTGTTCACTGTCAAGTGCACCACACACGAGATAAAAGTAAATTCAGGCAAGAACTAGGGGAGCTTCCTCTTGGTGTGGTAAACTCATAACTACAATATTCTTTTGCATCTCTCTCTGTTGTGAATTCAATCATTGATTATATGCAGAACATAATAATAATAATAATCCATGTGGTGTAGAATTGTAGAGGTCAAAACAGTCTGATTATCTTGGACTTCCCATAGTTGGAGCTTCTTCACCAACCTCACTGCATTGATTTCATGCCTCAGTAGCCACTCTAAGACCATCTCTTCTCATCGCAGGATCACCTAGTGCAAATGTTGTGCAGAAACACAACATGCATGCAATCCAAATATTGGAAGTTTCTGCAGCAGCACCGTTGTGACTTCATTTATATAAGAGATTCTCTCTCTCTCTCTCTCTCTCTCTCTCTCTCTCTCTCTCTCTCTCTCTCTCTCTCTCTCTTGTAGACATTGTCATACTTGAGGGTTAATATTTTGTCCACAAGTATTCTTAATTATAATTCGATTCCACTATATTCAATATCAATTAAGAGTATATACGAAGTGTGTATATAAATATGTATGTAACAGTTATGTAGAGACACTATTTATAATTTAGGGTTAACATTTTGTCCACAAGTATTCCTAATAATCTGTACATTCCAGAAGTATTGCCAACTTTGACAAGAAGTGATTGGTAAGAAATTTGTAGCAACTTCCTTTGATTTTCTACCACCTTAAATGGCAAGCATATTGCGTCTTGATGCAATAAAAAGGGATCTAGAACTCGTTTTCCCAAAACAAAAAAGAGAAATCTTGCATAAGGTGAATTTAAAGATATAAAGCAGAATAAGCGTATAACAAAATACAAGACTTGGTGTGATTTGATAAGGTTTATGTAATTCTGTCAAGTTCAAGTAGGTCATCTTTTGTGGATTGGAGAATGATGTCCATCACGATTTGCTTAGAGGAAGGTATATCTGACCTTACCTACTATTATACCTCTAACGACTCCGTCGCGGTCTTTTTTTTCCCAAGAGAAAAAAATATATATTCTTAAGGTGAATTTAGATGTATAAAACAAGGTAGATTATGTTGGAACAGATAAATCATATCACAAAATCCAAAGTTCAATGGGACTCGGAAGGTCTATCTCGAGTTCAAATAGACCACAAGTTGTGAAATGTGTGCATGACATTCATCACGATTTACCTAGAAGACATGTTCATGTGGTACTATATGTGACAACCTGCTTACATGTCTCTTGATGATCACTTGTCACTTTCTTTTTCCTTGACAACTTCATGTCACTTTCTTGGTTGAACAGAAAGAATAAATTTCTTGATGTATGTGAAATACAGTTCCAATTTTCAACGATTTCGTCAATTGATGTTCTCATTAGTATTTATGAACTTCATTATACAGATTCAAAGCCTCAATAGCTTCTCTAAAGACACCAATAGCTGCAACTTATTCATTCCATGCTGTAGCAAATTCATTAACAAAATATGAATTGAACTCCTCAATTTAGAGCTCAAAAATAGCAACTTATGCAAACCATCATATCTTGTTTTGAGCTCTGCCATAGCAATTCATAAATATTGTCGTATCGAGATGTGCGCAAACAACTCATTTTTTCTTTCTGCATCAACAATAAAATGATTTGAAACACAAAGGGTGTGTTTGATTGAAAATTTTTCCATGAAAATGATCTTTTTTCACCCGAATTTTAACTTTTTGAGGGATTGATTGCCATTTTTTTATGAAAAATATTTTCCAACATTTAAAAATATGCCTAGTTTTCCTTCTAACGAGGAAAACATTTCTTCAGGGAGATAGATTTTAAATTTTTATTTTCTTCAAAACCAGGAAAACGTTTTCTTTTCTTGAAAATATTTTCCATGTCAATGAGACACACCCTAAATGAATTTTATCAATTTTTAACTGCTTTTTTTCTCCAATCCTTCAAGAAAGAGCTCTGCTATTGTGACAGATTCAGATCAAGGGCTAGGGTGGCCCCCTCATAGGAGCCTGTCCCCAGCCCTGTCACAGTAGAAAAATCCTTTCAGAAATTTATTATAAGAAGCTAGGTTTTGTTAAGAACTTGAAAGATCTAGAGTGGATGTAATTTTCAGTCCATCGGTGTACTTATTAGTGCTTAAAAAAATTGACTTCTTGATAAAATCCTTAATCATATCCTAAAAGATTCATGAATTGTATGCAAATAAAATAAATACATATTCAAATTACATCAAGAACATTACTAGCTCATCTTTTTCCTTCCCCATCCAAATTCCTAATTATTAGCTGTGAATCAGTAGCAAGATCATTTTAGTTGGGAATGCTGCGTCTCCATATTCCGGCCAAAGCACTACCAAAGATCGAATGACACACACTAGAAACTGCACACGGCACTGCAGTAAGTGGATTCCCGAAGTGTTGAGTGGCAAGGACGACCCCAAGCACCGAATTCTGAAACCCAGAAATGGAAAGATATCGATGACAGTAAACGATAAAAGAGGGAAACTGAAAATCTATCAATATTTACAAGATAAAGAGGAATACCTGCATGCCAACCTCAATAGAAATTGTTCTTGATGAGGACACGTCAATCCTAAGCATCCTTGAAAGTACATAACCGAAGAAAAACCCAGATGCGTGAAGAAGAGCAACAGCTAGAACTACTTGTCGACCAGACATGAGGATTGCTGAAGAACTCTGAGCAATTGCATTTCCACAAAGAACAGCGACAGTTGACACAGCAATAGGTGGCATCAAGGGAGAAACAATTTTAACGAAGCTTTGGAAATATTGATTCAGAAATGCTCCGGCCAAAACAGGAAGAAGCACAACCTGAGTGATATGTAAGGTGCAGTTTACGACTTCGAGAAGTTAGAATTATGATACATTGATATAATGGTTGACATAATGTCACATGGCACTTTATCATTGGACCATTTTAAACACAATTAACATTTTCATCCAATTATATCTTGCCAACTAAGATTATATCACTCCATCTGTCAACCACTTTTTGTCAAAGTGACATAACCCAGTAAATTATGTGGAAACTCGTAATCAGGAGAGAAGCTGTAAGCATAAGAAAGGTCACCTGCAAAGTTGACATGAATAGTCCGGCTGCATCCACTGCCACATATTGTCCTGCAAGTTTTGCTGTGAGAAAAGGGGTCATCACCTGTAAGAGCAAATGACAATAGATAACGATAAGCTTTCGGACAATAGAAACTCCCAATGTGACATTTCAGATAGTCAGATGCTCAATTTTAGACGAAGCAATATAGTCCCTTTAATTATCCTCATTCTTTGATCTTATCATACAAAATGGAGAGTCAGAACACAAGAAGACAGCAGTGAAAAAGGAAGGGACGAGTCAAAAGGCTCTTAAAAATTCACACAAGAATGACTAGGAACTAAGACACCAATTTGAATTACAAACCACTGCAGAGAGGGTGCTTGCAGCAGTCATCAACACAGAAAGAGCCACATTTCCTCTGCAGTAAAATGAAGTAATCAGGATTTAACATCAAGATATTCAACAGATTAAAAGTAGTTTCTCTAGAAGTGCCATACCGTGCAATATACGTAACAATATTACTTGCAGTCCCTGTGAAGGAATACAAGTGAAAGTGAGTAAACATAGTCATAGACAAGAAAGCAACAAAAAAAAGCTATGTGCCTAAAAAAAATCCATATACACCTCCTGGACAGCAACCAACCAATATTAAGCCAGCTGCATAATATGATGGCAAATTCAAAAGCTTGCTCACGAAAAATCCAGATAATGGCATAACCTGTCACCACAAATCGACATTATAGCATGTTGAATATCATCTCCATTTGCCCCACCTCTTAACTACTCTCAACATATAAAACAACAAAAGACTGGTAAATAGTAACTTGAGAAATTTCAAACTTTCTTGTTCTATCAAAAAGCAGTTTAAGATAACTCAGGCTTCAAATTGCTAAAATTATGCTCTTCAGATTTATATCCTTTTATTTCACACGATATAGAAACCCAAGTCTGAGAGCCATAGATGTTACAAAAGCATACAAATGAAGCGAAGTAAGAAGCTTATTAGTTATTCCTATAGCCTCTCTTAATGACGCCCCAAGTCAAACAATAGTACAAGTCATTCAGTTCAAATGATAAGGTATGACCTTCATCTCCAAAATCCTCGTCCTCGCTTCTCTATGACTCACTTCAATCCCATCCCAAAACCAAAAGTGGACTTAGTTCAAGTTTTACTTCATTCGTTCCGGAGTTAGCCACTCCATCCCTTTGAAAATTTTCTCAAAACATAGAAAAAATGCCAAAAATTTCAGAAAATTAATGAAGTCAAAAGCTTGATGAGTAATGTTAACTGTTGGGAAAACACCTCCCAAAGATAGCCCAAAGATCAAACAAAGTTGACAATGTGAAAAAATCCAAACCACTTCAAGAACAAGAAAATGAGGAAGAAATGATTTCAATGGAATATATAAAGATCAATGTATTTTTGGATTACTTGAACAAGCCTCAAGTTAATCCCCAAGAAAGAAAGTAACTTGAATTTATACCCAAAATGAACAACCTTCAAGCTTGTAAAATTCTCTCTAAGTTTTCTCTCTTTTTCTCTCTTAAAACCGAGCCTAGGTCTTGTGTAATGAAAGAGGCAAAAAACCGGGTATAAATACATCTATCGAGGCGCCTAGGCGCCACACCATGTTCCTGTCTGGAAACAACACTCAGGGCGCCTAGGCGCCCAGCAGAACCAGCCCCCTTCCTCTCTTCCTCAGCTTCTCCAGCTTCTCTTCTTCTCACAATTCTCCACCTCGTACATCATTTGATAGACCTCAAATTTTGGACGAACACAAGAAGAAGTAGCAAGTACCAACTCGGCTGCATCATTCAAACCATGATTGCCTACGTTCCCAAAACTCAGGATCAAACCTCCGTAGTTCACCTCCACCTTCATATACTCTCCACCTCATTTCAACCTTGCCCCGAAGGGCCATGCCCTCTCTGGCATATCAACACGGACTAATGTGAAGCAAGTCCAAGCAATGTTGAAACTTGCTACCCGTTACCACTTTGGTTAACATGTCTGCTGGGTTCTCATTTGTGTGTACCTTCGAGAGTGAAATATCACCTTCATCTATAACATCACGCACAAAATGATACTTGACGTCGATATGCTTGGTTCGAGCATGATGAACCTAATTCTTAGCTAAGTGAATCGCACTCTGGCTATCACACCACAAGTCCACACAATCCTGCTCAATCCCCAAATCATCTAGAAGACCCCACAACCACAATGCTTCCTTCACTCCCTCTGCCATGGCCATACTCGGCCTCTGTAGTAGAAAGAGCAATTGTAGCCTGTAACATCGATCGCCAACTAACTGGGGCACCATGTATGCAAAACACATATCCAGTAGTAGATCGTCGTCTATCTAGATCACCTGCATAATCCGAATCTACAAACCCATTTATATGACATGCATCTCCACCAAAACATAGACCCGTATCCGCGGTACCTTTTAAATATCTCAGGATCCACTTCACAGCTTCCCAGTGTGCTTTCCCCGGATTCGCTATGAATCTACTGACCACACTCACCGCCTGTGAAATAT